TATGATTTCTAATTTTTGGTGGGGCCAAAAGGAGGGGGAGAGGAAGATTCATTGGGTTAAATGGGCGGACATGTGTAAAGGGAAGAAAATTGGTGAGATGGGCTTTCGAGATTTAAGGACTTTTAATATGGCGATGTTAGCAAAACAGGCTTGAAGAATTCACTATGAGACGCATACTCTTCTGCACAAGGTTTTAAAAGCGAGATATTTTCCATCGACGACTTTTATGGATGCCATGATTGGATACAGACCTTCATATACATAGAGGAGTATTTTAGAATCAAAGACGATCATTGAAGTCAGGTCGCGTTGGAGGATTGGTGATGGGTCTAAAATTCATATATGGAAAGATAGATGGATTCCTACTCCATCTACCTTCCAAGTGGTTAGTCCAAAGAATTTTTTGGAGGATGATACTATGGTTAGTGAGCATATTGATCTAGTTACATATTGCTGAAAAATTCCTGTGATTGATGCTGTCTTTTTGGAGCATGAAGCAGAGGTAATTAACAGGATCTCTTTGGGTGTGTTGCCTATGGAAGATAAGTTAATTTGGCAATATAATGCCAATGGCAGATTTTCAATTCGGAGTGCGTACCATTTAGCATATGAGCAGAATTTAATCCATTTGGGTTGTACAAGTGCTGGTTCATCATCAAATTCTGGGGGTAATTGGGGTGCTGTATGGAATAAAAATGTTCCCAATAAAGTTAAGATTTTTGCATGAAGGATGATCTTGAATGTTCTTCCTACTAATGAAAATTTGTGGCTTAGGAAAATTAGACCAAATGGGGTATGTTGTGTATGTGGGGAGGGTGTTGAAACTGTGTTACATATCATTAACGAATGTCCTTGGGCAAGACAAGTATGGAATGAGAGTCCTTTTTGTCATTTAATAAATCGAGTGGATGAGAACTTTGTTGATTGGTTTTGGGAAATTATTTTGCAGCTTAAGCCGAAACTTGGTGCAATGTTTTTGGTGTTGTGTTGGTATATTTGCCGTAAGAGGAATGAAGTTTTATTTCAGCAGAGGCGAAATGACCCTGTGGTGTATTGTCATATGGCAATGGAGTTTATTTCGCAGTATGAGCAGGCCTTGGATTTTGGTCAGAATGCTATCCAGGAAAGTGCACCAGAACGTTGGGTTCCTCCTAGATCTAGATCTTTTAAGGTTAACTTTGATGGAGCAGTGTTTGACGAAGAGGGTGTCATTGGGGTAGGGGTGGTGCTTCGAGATGAAGCTGGGTCGTTCATTACTGGGATGTCTAAGAAGTTAATTGGCAAAGTAGAAGCGCAAACTACATAGATTATGGCTGCAAGGGAAGCTATGTTTTTTGCTAGGCAAATGGGGTGTGATGAATTTGTTTTGGAAGGGGATGATCTTACAATAACGAAGAGGATTGGTAATAATTCTGAAGATTTTTCTCCTATTGGTGCTATTATTGCAGATGTACAACAATTTCTTCGTTTATTTTTTATTTTTTGTCTACTGTTAGACGATTAGGAAATCGTGTGGCTCATCAACTGGCTCGAAAGGCCAGTGTAGTTGAAAATATTGATGTTTGGGAAGAGATGACACAAGATTTTCTGATACCATCTCTTTTGTCAGATTTAGTTTTTTAATAAAATTTATATCGTTTCGATTCAAAAAAAAAAAAATAATAACCCAAATTTCTATCTTTTCATAAACTGCTTCGCCGTCAATAGTGGCTGGTCAAGGTTACCACACAGCTATTTTTAAGATTCAGATTCCCTCCATTACTCATTCCCTTCAATTCCCCTTAATACAATGTTAGATGAGTGAAACGTGTAAAATTTTGAATTTCAATGGATAAGATTTTTTTCTTGTGAGAAAATTCCTTAATAATGGTTAATATTCCACCAACAACAAAAATGAATGAAAAAATATTTTATTCATTGAAATTTAAAATTTTACACGTGTCACTTATCTAACATTATATTGAGGAAAATTGAAGGGAATGAGTAATGAAGTGGATCCAAATCCCTATTTTTATGTTCTCTTTACTTCTATACTGAGCGAAAATTTCGGGCACATTCTTTTAATTTATCATATTTAATATATTATTAAGAACCTCCTCTCTAATTTTTGAATTTTTATTAGCATCTCATGTCAAATTAAAAATATTAATTATAATATAATTTTATTAAATTTCCTATGATATATTTTAGGAAAAACTTCATCCACACCTCCTCTAGATAGACATATTTTTAATGAAATCTCCTCTATTTTCTAAATTTTTTTACGTATTAAAATTTGGGGGATTAAAATTCGATTCGAACTAATTAAAATTTGAGTCGATTAAAAATTATATTTTTTTACATATTAAAATTTAAGCCGATTAAAAGTCTATTTGAGGCTTAAATCAAATTTTAATCAACTCGCATTAAATTTTAATCTGCCCCAAATTTTGATACATAAAAAAATATAAATTTTAATTGACTCAAATTTTAATACACAAAAGCTAAATTTTAATCAACTTGAATCGAATTTTAATAAATAAAAAATATAAAATTTAATTGAGGCTAACCGCTCAAATTTTAATGAATAATTTTTTTTTAATAGACTCAGATTTTAATACGTCAAAAAATAAAATTTAATCAGCTCGATTCAAGTTTTAATCGACTCAAATTTTAATATGTAGAAAAAAAATGTAATCAATTTGAATTTTAATATGTAAAAATTGAATTTTAATCAAATTTTTTATAGAAAGATTATTTGGGGTTTATGTAGGGGTAGTTTTAGTATTTTAAATAATTTATTTTTATTATAAATGGTGGTTTAATGACAAGAAAATATTATCAAAAATATCCTCAAAAATATGATAAACTAGAAGGAGTGTGAACGNTTACTTCTATACTGAGCGAAAATTTCGGGCACATTCTTTTAATTTATCATATTTAATATATTATTAAGAACCTCCTCTCTAATTTTTGAATTTTTATTAGCATCTCATGTCAAATTAAAAATATTAATTATAATATAATTTTATTAAATTTCCTATGATATATTTTAGGAAAAACTTCATCCACACCTCCTCTAGATAGACATATTTTTAATGAAATCTCCTCTATTTTCTAAATTTTTTTACGTATTAAAATTTGGGGGATTAAAATTCGATTCGAACTAATTAAAATTTGAGTCGATTAAAAATTATATTTTTTTACATATTAAAATTTAAGCCGATTAAAAGTCTATTTGAGGCTTAAATCAAATTTTAATCAACTCGCATTAAATTTTAATCTGCCCCAAATTTTGATACATAAAAAAATATAAATTTTAATTGACTCAAATTTTAATACACAAAAGCTAAATTTTAATCAACTTGAATCGAATTTTAATAAATAAAAAATATAAAATTTAATTGAGGCTAACCGCTCAAATTTTAATGAATAATTTTTTTTTAATAGACTCAGATTTTAATACGTCAAAAAATAAAATTTAATCAGCTCGATTCAAGTTTTAATCGACTCAAATTTTAATATGTAGAAAAAAAATGTAATCAATTTGAATTTTAATATGTAAAAATTGAATTTTAATCAAATTTTTTATAGAAAGATTATTTGGGGTTTATGTAGGGGTAGTTTTAGTATTTTAAATAATTTATTTTTATTATAAATGGTGGTTTAATGACAAGAAAATATTATCAAAAATATCCTCAAAAATATGATAAACTAGAAGGAGTGTGAACGGAATTTTTCACTATACTTATTATTTTGAGTTATTTAACGTGTACAAAAAGATATGATTCTTATTTGACTCAATTCCGCTCATTATTTTGACGGTGGGACTACTTTAAACTAAATAGAAAATTTCAGAACCTAAGGGGGTGCGACTGAAATATTGAGAGCCAATAAGATAGAGGAATGCATATACAAGAACCGGCATGTGTCTGTCTTATTATAAAAAAAAAAAAGGCCTTTGGGGGGTTCCATTATTCTATTTCTGGCTACATTTTTGTGTTGTATATAGTTTCAACTATTAAAGTTGAGCAGGTCTTGAATCATGCTGACCAGGAAATTCAAATATTCTAGGTTAGTCCATACTAGAACAAGTGGGCAAGATGGGAGCAAAAGCCAAAGTATTGGCCTAGGCATAAAACTGGAGCTACTAAAAATCACTTCAGAATTCAAATTCTATATAATTAATTAGAGATAATCCGTATTTGAAGGTAGAGTGCAATATGAATGATTTTGAGAGGNCGAAGAGAGGTAAAGACTACTGGAGCTCGGTGCCGCCAGGTCAGCCGGAATCCTTCAAGTGGAGGGATGAAATCCGTAGCGATTTCTACCCCTTACACTAATAAAGAAGAGATTGTAAAAGCAAAAGATGCAACTTAGTATAAAAGTCGTTCTCTTGTCTATTTGAACAAAAATAATGGAAACCTGAATAATTCATTCTGTTGGTTTTTTTTATGGAGTCTAGTTTGTATATGTGATCCGGATGATGACCCGACCCGAAATAATGTTGTGTGGTTTTTAATGGAAAATTTTCTGAGGCTTAGTCCATGGAGCGAAGGCTTGGGCCGATAGGCCCAAGCCGTAGCGCTTATGGACAAGCCTCGTGGGGGTTCGGGGGCAACGCCCCCGAGGAAAATTTTTTTGGGCCCGTTATACAACCCAGTGCGTAGGACATATAAACCCTGTTGTTTTGGTGATTAGGGTTTATCGTGGATGTACAGCCGCTCTCTGTATTCAACTCTCTCAATAGTGAAATTCCTGCAGCTTCGTGGACGTAGGCAAATTGCCGAACCACGTAAAATCTGTGTCTTGTTCTTTCTTGTTTCTTATTGCTTCATATTCTTGATTTGTTCTTCGATTGTGTGTGTTTGTTAGTGAATTTAAATCGTGTGAAATCCCAACACATTCTTCCACTATCTTCAAATTTATAAAGAAACAAACTGTAAAAACAGACTTTTAGTGCCAATCATTGCCTTAAAATAAAATTAAAAAGAGGAGAGAGAGAGAGAGTGTTGCATGGTTCACCAAGGACCAGATCTCTCAGATAAGCTTAGAAGTTCCTCCAAGTAATCAGCACCTAAATCTTCTAACACCACCACATTGTCTAAACTCAATTCTTCCGCTTTCTTCTTCCTACTAACTCTTTTCTTCTTCATGGAATGCCTCTTCTTCAATGCTAAAACAGGTGAACACCCCTCCTCAAACTCATAATTCATGTCTCGAAGCGACTCATACACAATGTCCACCGGAAAGTTGAGCACAGCCATGGAACCACGCATCGCAAATGCTGCTTGGTCATAGGCCAAAGCTGCTGCTTCTGCTGTATCAAACGTTCCCAACCAAACCCTCAAACCGTGCCTCGTTGAATCCCTAATCTCTGCTGCAAATTTTCCCCATGGCCGCCTTCGAACACCTCTATAGTTAATCTCCTTCATTGGTTCTTCGTCTTCTTCTAGGGCGTGAGTTGAGGACGTGATCGATGATTCTCTTCCACCTGCCTCCGCTAGAACTCCATACAGAAGCATCTCTTGGGAGTCATTCTCATTGAAAGGAAGGGTTTGGTTATATAAACCAAGCATGTTGCATGTTAACGACTCAGAGATTGACTCGGACAATGACTCGGGAGAATTGAAGGATGATGGAGATGAGAATTCAAGAGATGGGTATTGAAAGAATGAAGAATCCATGGAAGAATTCAAAGGTTTTTTTTGAGGTTTAAATATTTCTTAGTCTCTGATAACTACTAGAAGTTATAAGTGGTCTTTGGTCATATATGACCAATAATATAAGATAAGGGGTTTATATAGGCACACGAGGGGTGGGTAAATTACAAAAGCTCATAAAAATATTGGCGAAGGATAAGTTCAGATTCATGCATATGCTGGGGGCTCTGTTTTAAGGCACGTGAGTCAAAGGACTTTGTGGACATGGCGGCCAGGTCAGATAAGAGGGATTGGTGACGTCAGCTTGATGATTTCAGTAGCAGTAGTTCACTGTCTTATAATTGATGTGGGGTCTGTGGCTGGTCCACCTGGCACTTAGGACACAAGTGACGGTACTCAATAAGTGCTAATATGCTTTCTGGCCTATTTGGCCTATTTGCTCATGATAAAATTGACAAGCTTGAAAACTCAAGTGAGTGTTGGCCACTTGACTACTGAATAAGGACAACGCTTGAATTAAATTGCATTTTTGGGTTTAAGCTGAGCTTGGGTTAGAGGTTATTTGAGTTGAATCCGAGTTCACCTTCTAATTTGTCCGATCCTGATCATTAGACAAGAGAGGCACTGGTAAGGTGCAGAAGTACCATGGGTCGGTTCGTTCATGTGATGCTAGGTAACCTTGATAATATGGGGACGTGGGGGTTCGAATCAAACTCCTTCATCAGTTGAGTGGGTTGGAATTATAAGACCTTATCCATAACTCGGTTTGGAACACTCCCCTCCTCTACCCCCAGGGAACAAAGGAATGGCGCCAGAGTGGCAATGGTGGATTTGCTAAACGTTTAATTTACTAGAGAAGGTTTAAATTAAATATTTATATATTTCAACACAACCCATTACATGCAGCTAGATTTTGAGTCTTTTACTTATACAATAATAATAAGACTCGAACACAGAAAATTTCTTATTTTGATATCAGGTTAAATATATAGTCATCTCATCTAAAAAATTAAGCTATTAAAAATAATGTAATTTAAATATGTATTCGTGTACTTCAACCGAATTTAGCTACGGCATTGCGGCAGTCAAATAATCTTAATGAAATGGAGAGGTTCATTCAAGAGGGGAATGTGGTAGATATAAACTACTGCAGCCAATGATATTTTATTGCCATGTTGAAAATGGAGGAGGGGGTAGCCAATCGTATTATGCCAATCGTATGGATGATTCAAATAATGCCAATCATATGGTCGTTTACCAAGTACTAAACCTGGTAGTCAAAATGATGGTAAGTGTGTCATTCAAATAACCATGATTCAAATAATAACCTTGAACTTTTATATACATTTATATTATAAAATATAATAGGCTTTAATAAATTCATTTGATTATCTTAAATAAATATATCAAACGATCACCAACATCATTGTAAAAAATATTCACATTATACCGTGTCTTTAGGCACAGGTTAAGCCTAGTATATAAATATAATTCATATGTTTCAATGATTTATACCAGACTAATGTTGAATCTCAGTGTGAGCTGTCACTCCACACAAAATGAGTAAATAAGACAAACTTCAATAAGTTTATCTGACGGTCTTAAATAAATTCATTCAAAAACCAATAATATTTTTGTCAAAATTATTCATATTGAACTGTAACTTCCAACACAAATTATCCTTAATATATATCGACCTCAGTGCTAAGCTCTCACCCCACACAAAATAGGTAAATTGATAGGCGGTGGCCTAAAAAGACATACACCTATGAAATATTCGGACTCTTGAATTACACTTTATAAGAAGTTTATCAAGTAATCGAACTATCACTACATTAAGCCCTTTAGGTTTGAGACATTAAATATTATATTATATGCAGGACCACTTATACGTGGTAGATATTAAACCTTTCTTCTATTTTTTAATAGAATCCTTTACCTTTTATCCAGACTCATCTTTTTGTTGTGGCCTTTGGTGGCGTTGATGCAGCCATCAGATGTAGAAAATAGCTTTGTTGATTCAAATATTCAACTTCCATACAGGGAAGCATGCTTTTTTGTTTTCATACCATCTATGCTGCTGCCGGTTTTTACCTTACCCTATGGATACAAATTATGATATTTTATTTTATTACTCAATATTTTGCAGAAATTTTTTTTTTCTTGGTTTATTCTATCCGATCAAGTGTATTATTCTTCTCCGAATTCTGTCTAAAACAATCGAGTAGGAAATCGGGTGAACACATTATTAATTTTTGAATAATTTTAACAATTTAATTAAATAACATGTATCAATTAACTAACACAATAAACCAATAACACTAAAAAAAATACAATAAATTCGATAATACAAAAATAATTACAATAAAACATAACAAGAAAGTCATAAAAATATCAATACATCATATATAAGAAAGTCATAAACANAAAAAAAAAAAGAGAAAAATATTGCATGTGATAGAAGGCCTCATAAGATGGGTGCATGAACCTGTTAGCTCTTGCCGTCAACATTCCATGAACACTCCAAAATTTTGAGCATTGAATTAACGTGACAAATTATTGCCAACTTGTCCTTGAATAAAAAAAAAAATTCATACATTCAAAACATACCGATATATTATATAGGTTGATGAATGAGAAATAAAAGATAATTCGGTGTACGAGATTTTATTATATATATTGTAGAGTGTGGAGTAGGTCAGATATGCACAATTTTATCCCATGAACTAAGGACATGTTCTTGTAACTCAAAACCAAGATGCCTAAGTCAAACCGGAAAAAACCTTAACCGTTAAATTCATCAATTCTCTAGCATAGAATATAAACATATCAACACGTTATAAACTCTTTGCAAAATCATTCTTTATTAAGGCTTTCTTATGCAGTTCTTTTTGAAGATCGTCTCTACTTCTAGAACATGATGAAAGGCGAGGTTAGCAGTCTTTGACTTAAACTCACAAGCTTAAGCCTATCCGATCACACTCTGGTTCAAATGTTTTGGCAGGATCCAAATTAGATTCATCCTCTTTGATCATTAACTTTAGTTAGGCAGTATTTTTCTATTTATTTTGCATTAATTTTCATCGAAATCCTTTTACTTTTGTTTTGTTGTGATGGGGTAGAGCTTTTGAAATTACTTCTTGAATAGCAAGTGTGCATTTTTTTTATTAGAAATTTTGAACTAACCAAAATGATGCGGCAAAACTTAAGCAACCATTGACGGCATTGATGGCCCCTTTATTTGTTAGGTGTTGAGGAGCTATCGTATCATTTGAGTCAAAAACTTTAGTCTAAATATTTGATCATATAGCATGACTGATTCTATATAAGGGCTTGCAGATGTGTGATATTAAGCTCAAGGTTTTAGCAATCATCTTTAGTCTTTGACAGGATGAGATCTTCTCCTATATATTGATATTTTTTTTTATAGAAAATGAAGAGAAGAAGTATAGGAGGGATCTAAATCCCCTTTGAAATTAGAGACATTTAGCTCAAGATTTTATCTCCTCTATCTTGCATGCATTATATTTTTGTAAAATAATTGATTATATATTATAGTAATGACATACCTAAAGAAAATTGAGAATTTTAAAATCTCACCCACAGTATATCATATCCAATGAATTTGTATAAAGCCAACAGTTTGATTGAAGTCAAATTAGGTATGATTATTCATTTAATTAGTCTAAAGGCATGATTAAACAATTGTCATTAACATATGGGGAACATTTGACCTCACCCACTCCCCCATCTGAACT